AAGTTTAAAAATTTAACAAATATTATTAGTTGTAACTTCTTAACATTAATAAGAAAATTACATCTATAACCTTAAAACTTATCTTTAGTAAGGACATTCTTGACACTTCAAAAGTTTCAAGAAACTACTCATACTTTTAAGGGAGTTATAAATAAATAATATTATATTATATTATATATATTATATTATATTATATTATATATATATATATATATTATATAGATTATAGATAGATAGATATAGAATAGAATAGATATAGATATAGATAGATTATAGATTATAGATAGATAGATAGATTATAGATAGTTTGTATTTGCTAATTGCAGGTTTCTGTAGAAACATTGAAAATGTCAAATGCTGTTGATGCAAAAATATGCAGTAAGAACTGAGCAGAAACTAAAGCCAATATGATTTTCAGTTTTCAATACTACAGCTGATCACTTACATTTGACTATGGTTATAAAAACTAGTCGTCAACTCAATGTGAACTTTAATTAATTAAAACATGCACTGTAAACTGTCTAATGTAAACAGAAGAAACTTTTATTTAATGCATTTAACGAGTTCAACACAGACGAAAAAATTTAAATTACAATCCTCCAAACAAACCCAAACTGTTGAAGTATACCAAGTAACTTAGAGCTTAAGTTCTGTCACAGCATCAAACTTAAGGCCCAACCTCAACTCTTGATACACCAAGTTGCGACAACAACTTATCAATAATCGCTCTTAATGCTGGTGCACTCACCCGGCATTTACTATCATCAAAGCAAGACCTTCCTTCTTCGGCAGCCTTACACAGCTGTGGGTCCAACGGCACCTTCCCTAGGAACGGGACTCCCATGTCCCCACACATTTTAGCACCACCACCCGAACTGCTATCAAAAACTTCACTAAATGCCACCAGGTTCAGCATACCCGGAGCTTTCTCTCTTATGCACTCGAGCACCCACTCAGTCATGTCATTCTGCTCGCCCGTCTCGTTAACACTCATGAATCTCAACTCTGACAAGGACTGGCACAAGCCGCTCATATTCTCGACCACCCCCAAAACTGGTAGCCCAACCTTTTTGCAGAAACTCACTTCCTTTCGGACATCTATAAGAGATACCTGCTGTGGCGTGGTGACTATGAGGGCACCGTCTATTCCGGTCGCCTGGAGGAATTGGACGATCGAAATATGCTCGTCAGAGGTGCCAGGTGGAGCATCAACTACAAGAAAGTCAAGTTCCCCCCAATATACGTCCTTGAGGAATTGCTTTATGATTCCGTTCTTTCGGGGTCCTCGCCATATGACAGCCTCGTCAGGGTGGGGGAGCATGAACCCGATTGACATCACCCCAAGGTTCGACTCAACATAAACAGGGGACCACCCAAGGTTGCTCTGGTGTATCTCTTGTCCTTCGAGTCCCAACATTTTTGGGATGCTTGGACCGCATATATCGATATCGAGGAGACCAACCTGGAAATCCATGGATGCTAGGGCAAACGCGAGCTGGGCTGAGAATGTACTCTTGCCAACACCACCTTTGCCGGACAAAACCAGTATTTTGTGCTTCACTGTTGCCATTCTTTCAACTATGGAGAGTAGGTCTGCATATAATTATACATGTGAAGAAATCAATGCTAGTAAAATGTAGTAATAATCGCCAAGCACCATTAGGGTATTTCTTCAGAAGCTAACAACTCTAAAGCAAACATAAATAATATCACACGAAGATCATTAAAGATTTCTTTTTTTCCTTCTACCCAAAGGAAAATATACGCATATAGTAAGTAATCACAATGAGCCATCACCCAGTACTATGACTTTTATGAATGGATAAACATTTACTTTTTGGATTCAACTAGCGCATTCATATTTCTTTTTTCATCCCAGATCCTCGTTAGCCCCGAAAAATTTGCTGCACAAATCCATAGAGAAACATGTATAACACACTCAACTAAACAAGTTCACTATAAGTTGGCATAAAAACTATATAACGAGGTAGAGCGCATAAAACGCCAGGTACGTAGGCCGGTCACACTAAGATCCCTGCTAAGTTTAAAAGCTACCTCCCAGTATTATTTATGCACTCACATGACTCGCACTGAACTTAACATCAAATATCGCGTTCTTAATTTTGAACCTAAAACTACCAAAACAATTGTTACGTAAGAATATTGATGCTTTTGACATCGTATATGTAGAGGTACCAACACACACACA